CATGATGTTTGTGATTATGAACTGAGCAGGTAACACAGATTACTGTATTACATGTTTCACAGAATAGCTCCAAAGGCTTTCCATGATCACTACATGTGGCCTCTTGAGGATTTGATAAATCTGCTGTCTTCTTTGTTAGACTGTACATCTCTTTGAGGTTGTTTAGGTGGAATGCTACAGGAAAGGCTCCTGCTCCTTCTTCTGGTAACTCTGTATGATGACGACAAGTGGGACAAGAGAGGTAATAGGTCTCATTCTTCTTATCCAAAGGCAATCCCTCCAGACAGTGCTCACAGAATGAATGTAGACAAGGTAAAGTCTTAGGGTTGGTATAGTGGTCAAGACACACAGAGCAGGTGAGCTCTTTCTCCAGTTTGAGTCTGAGGCCAGAAGATGGTTTGGTTGCCATTTCAAGAAAAGAATAAAATTGGATACGTAAAGCAAGAACAAAAATGAAGAGAGATAAAGGTAGAAGACGGTAAATGAAGATAGAGCAAGAATGAACAATAAGAAATGAGGAACTTAAAATAAATGAGAAAACAAAGCGAAATAGAACGATAGAAGAAAGGGGTGGCAGGATAGCAGTCTAGTCTTGTGACTGAAGGAAGTTATGATAGCTACAATAATACTGGGAGCAACCTAACCATTACTAAAGATGCAGTACTGTATGTACAGTAAAAGGTAACCTTTACTAAGGGTTATTGATTTCATTGTGATATAAAAAATAAGAATACATGTACATGTACATGCTATGCAGCAGATTAATGGAAACATTATAAGGATGAGCCTAAACCTTATACAACTGTACTATACATGTGCCAGCATTAGCATTTCATAGTTGTACATGTAGTTACTTTGAAGGGAGTTACAATTTACTATATACCATCACTTACAGAGTATACAGCTGTAAGACTGTCTTCCTTTGGTAGGCTAAGAGATCTTGTCAACCTATGAAGAATAATAAATAAATAAATATAATGAAATCACAATAATTATTTGCAACTTATGTGAACCATACAATTCCATTATTTATTAATACACTTTTATAAAAACAAAGTCTCCAAACAGGATACAGTAACACTGTACTACAGTACAACCTCCAGTGGACCTCCTGTACTGAACAAGTTCTTAAGAAAAGGAAAGAGAGAGAGGATCACACACAAAATATCAACATATAAATATTAACTAGCCTCAGGCATTTAATGACAATACATGAGGCAGTGCATAAAGTGATGACCCCAGCTCAATACAGAGCCTATAGTGCAGCAGAGGCAGCACTATAATATGAAGAGAGTGTCTTCATTATGAAGGCCTGCAAAGAAATGCATCATCATACTATCAATGATTATTATTATTATAAATAAAAGAAGAGATAAAAGAAATTAATAATAAATTAATTGTACACAAAAGAGAGAGAGAGGGAGAGGAGAAAAGGAGAAGGAAGCTGTTTAAATAAAAGACAGTTTGAATCATACAGTAGACAGTACAATTATTAGATTCATAATTACTGTGTGTTAGTAATTACAGGTTTAGCAAAAGGAGCTAATATCTGTTAGGACAAGGACAGACAACCTCGTTAGAGAAGAGAGGAGAGAGAGAAGACCAGGAAATACTCTAAAATTAAAAAGTCACAATTATTAGTTCATTATTATTATTATTATTAGCATTATCAGTACACAGTACATTGATGTACTACTAGTCTAGTTTCTCAATGATGAATGGATGCTGGAGTGCTTGATTGATACTGAGCCTCTTGGTTGGATCAAGTATAAATATCTTATCAAGGAAGTCCTTGAAGTGATGAATCTTCCTTAGGTGAGCTTCACTTGGAGACTGGGAACCAACCAGGTCTGCTAGAAGGTCACGCTGAGGAGTGAATGAGGACATCACCACAACCTTCTCCTGTAGAGGGAGAGAGGGAGTCACTACCAGCAGGAGGAGGAGGAGGACATTATAAATACATGTACATGTATATCATTGATACAGGGATGAATGGAGGGAGGAGTCCATAATGGAGATGGACAGGATGATTCTAATACAGATCCACTTCTATTAACAGTATTGTACCTTACTAAACAGGACCTTAAATTAGGAAAACTATACATGTACATGTACATGTATTATGTAGCAATTGGAGCAACCAAAATCTCCTTATATTAAACCATCAATCATTAATGCGTATAAAATACCCATTCAAATTACATGTACATTTACATGTAGAAAAAACATTACCAACATTTTTATAGCAAAATAGTTACATTACACGTATAACTCCTCTCTTGCTTACCTTCTGAGTCACTTTATCCACAGTATGATACAAGAAGTTGAAACTACTATCAAAATGATTCTCCCTAAACATTCCCTTCCTGACCA